GATATGTTCAGTCAAATCATTCAAGACCAGATCAGTGAGGGAGTTATTAGAATTTTTAAGTGAGCTATTCAGCTGCAAACAAAAAGGAGGGCTATAGAGTATGAGGCAAATGATTTAGTGAACATATGCAACCTTTATTTCTTTTTGGTGTCATCATTTCAGTTCAGGATACACACATCCTTTTAAACTTCGGCTACAATGTCAATGGCAACATTCTTGTCTATGGACTAGAAAGAGGTGGGTTCGAATGTCATACCAGACCACGAGTTCCTATTTTGCGTGGACAGCATATTCTACTATTATTTAATAAAGCCCTGTTAGAGACAGTATCCTTTGCCTAAGATGTTAAACACAATCCATAATGTATATGCTGACTGTACATCACTTTCAGTTTCCTCGCAGATTTCAAAATAAGATTCCCACGTTTAGTTAATTCTGATTCTCAAAATCATGCCCCCAGTCTAAAGAGGATAGTCCATCTTTACAACCTGAAAACTTTCATAATGCATTGGACACCATTTCCTGTCTGGTGTAGGGATGTAAAATTCCGGTTTAATTAGTTATCCAGTTAAATGTTAAGTTGAACCAGTTAACTGATTCAATGGGGGTAGACTGCAGGAGTTGGGTGAAGGGCTGGTCCAACCCTACAGGGCTAGAGGGGCCTCCCTGCTTGTTGGTGTTAGGCTGGAGCAGCCCTCCACCTGCCCACCTCAGGTAGGGGCTGCTCCAGCCAAGCTGCTTCTGGCTCTGCACAGGGCTAGGAGATGGCAGTCCTTTGAGGGGCCAGAAGCACCAGATGGGGCTAATGGCTCTTAGCCCTGTGGGGGGCTACAAGTGGGAGTGGGGGGCTCCTCCAGGTACTGATTAACCAGTTACCTGTTAACATCCTTAGTCTGTGGTATTGTTTCTTATTCTATAAAGGGGTGGAGGCAATGCAGTGTCTTTTTGCTCTCCAAGGTCCTCTACTCTTCCCGCTCCTCCTCTTCTTTACACAAACAGTCTAAGATTAGGATTAATTTTGGTTGAATTTATCTACATGCAAGTACAGTACTCTGTGCTACACATGAACAGTTTCTGGAAGTACTTCACTGCCTTAATTGCACTGTATGGGTGCCTCTACACAGCACCCTAAACTTGAAATAAGATATGCAATTTGCACTACACAAATTGCATATCTTAGGGTGCGTCTACCTTGCACTGTTATTTCAAGATAACTAGTGTTATTTTGAAATAGCAATGTGAGCGTCTACACAGCCATTCCGTTATTTTGAAATAATTTTGAAATAACGAATGACTTATTCCAAAATCTGTAAACCTCATTCTACAAGCAAAAATTCCTATTATGAAATAGCTATTTCAAAAGAAGGCATGTGTAGATGTTATGCGGCTGCCATTTTGAAATAGCCCCTCACCAGGGCCATTCTAAGTTATTCCTCAATTTCTCCAGGGGCTCTAAATTGAGACAGAACATGTACATTAGGGAAGCCTGCCTTGGACTAATGTTGAGGCTTCCTTGCAGTGTAGATGTGCTATTTTAAAATCAGATATTTTGGAATAACTATCCCAGAATAGTTTATTTCGAAATAGCCGTGCAGTGTAGACATACCTTATTTTGAGTGTATTTTGAAATAGATTATTTTGAAATTTGGTGCATCTACAGTAGGTAGTGTCAAATTTCAAAATAACGCCCTATTTAGACCCATCCCTTAACCCTTGTGCAGCGAGGTTTACTGAGATGGTGAAATAGCGCACCTGTTATTCTGAAAAATATTTCAAAATAGCAGGCGGATTGTGTAGACACAGGCTAGCTATTTTGGGATACTTCTGATATCCTGAAATAGCCATGCAGTGTAAATATACCCTATAACTCCTTAGTTAGTCTGATATGTTTGCAGTGTCTCCCACAGTAAACCATTTCATAACCCTATATTTGAGGATCTGTGGATAGATTGTTCCTGATCTTATATAAAAGAAAATCAAAGATTTATTCAGAATACAAACTCACAAGCATATACACGCAGAGCAGTTAGGCGAAATAAATGGAGAGTGCCTCCATTTATTTGTTTTACTTCATAAAAACACAATATTGATAACTTAGAGCTGCTCTTAAAAAGCACAGTATTTAAGCACTGTAGGATTTTGGTACAGCACTAATGCTTCTGTGATGCATGAAAAGATTTGGGTAATTGGTTATGGTGATCCTATGATCATGGAACATACTCTTGCTAATTTTCTTATTTATTAATTTATCAACATGTTATAAATTTGTGTTTTATCAACTGGTATCTGATGCTGTATATTTATTTAATTTAAGGATGAGAGGAAATCGTCATTTGAGCAAGTGAGGCAGATACAGTTTTACCATCAGTTGTGATGCTAAAGAGAGCCGCAATAGAACCACTTTGCATTCTCCCCTCACATTTGTACCCTGACCCAACATTTGACCCATATGAGGGCTTGCACTTTAATCTTCCCTATCAGGTTTTTCTCTGTGGCTTTCCAATATCATTCACTCTACACACATTCCTTCTCCGCAGTACATAAATCTTTTTCCTGTCTGTATAAAGAAGGCTTGATGTAATCATACACCACAAACCCCAACCTTATTTCCTCTATTCTATTCTATTCTATTCTATTCTATTCTATTCTATTCTATTCTAAATTTCTGGGGAGAAAATGGGCTTTTCCCCAAGCTTTGTTTCTCTAGGACATTGTTTATCTCTTTTTTTGGTGGAGGGTAGTGATATTAAACCTTTTCAATTTCTGAGTAAAACATTACTCTGAAAACAAATTTAGGGAAATATTTATTCATCATGATCTCTAAGTATATTCTCCTTTCTGCAAAAAAAAGTGTTTTGTTTTTGTTTTTTATTCACTCTTGCCTTCGCATGCTGTCCCCCTTTCTCCATTGTACTCTCCAATGTATGCTTCACTGCCATCTGGTCTTCTTTTTCCTCTGTGTGTGCTATCTGGCTACTCATTCCCCTAGTTGTGTTGATCAGCTGCTTGATCTTTCTCTCCTTGACTCCTGTGACACACCCATTCTACTGGCAGCTTCTGGCACCTGTGCTGCCAAATGACTCCTGCTGGTTCTGGGGACTCCATTTCAGTTGCTGCCTTTGGTCCCTTTGGATAGGTCTTGTTTTCTTCCCTCTCCTTTTTAGGTTACTGGGGGGGGGGGGGGTTTGTGCATCCGAGGGTACTGAGAGGGAGTTGGCAAATGTCATTGTGGAGCCTTTGGCTATTATCTTTGAAAAATCGTGGAGATCGGGAGAAATCCCGGATGACTGGAAAAAGGCAAATATAGTGCCCATCTTCAAAAAAGGGAAGAAGGATGATCCAGGGAACTATAAGCCGGTCACTCTCACCTCTGTTCCTGGAAAAATCATGGAAGGGATCCTTAAGGAATCCATATTGAGGCACTTGGATGAGAGGAAAGTGATTAGGAATAGTCAGCATGGATTCACAAAGGGCAAGGTGTGCCTGACCAATCTGATTAGCTTCTATGATGAGGTAACTGGCTCGGTGGACATGGGGAAGTCAGTGGATGTTATATACCTTGACTTTAGCAAGGCTTTTGATACGGTCTCCCACAATATTCTTGCCAGCAAGTTAAGGGATTGTGGATTGGATAAATGGACGGTAAGATGGATAGAAAGATGGCTAAAAGGCTGGGCCCAGCAGGTAGTGATCAATGGCTCGATGTCAGGATGGCGGTCGGTTTCTAGCGGAGTGCCCCAAGGTTCGGTTCTAGGACCGGTTTTCTTCAATATCTTTATTAATGATCTGGATGAGGGGATGGATTGCACCCTCAGCAAGTTTGCGGATGACACTAAGCTGGGGGGAGAGGTAGATACGCTTAAGGGCAGACATAGGGTACAGAATGACTTAGACAAATTGGAGGATTGGGCCGCAAGAAATCTGATGAGGTTCAACAAGGACAAGTGTAGAGTCCTGCACTTGGGATGGAAGAATCCCAAGCATAGTTACAAGCTGGGGACCAATCGGTTAAGTAGTAATTCTGCAAAAAAGGACCTAGGGGTTACAGTGGATGAGAAGCTAGATATGAGTCAACAGTGTGCCCTTGTAGTCAAGAAGGCTAATGGCATATTAGGTTGCAGTAAGAGGAGCATTGCCAGCAGATCCAGAGATGTCATCATTCCTCTTTATTTGGCTTTGGTGAGGCCGCATCTGGAGTATTGTGTCCAGTTCTGGGCCCCCCACTACAAAAAGGATGTGGACGCATTGGAGAGGGTCCAGCGAAGGGCCACCAAAATGATTAGGGGGCTGGAGCATATGACTTATGAGGAGAGGCTGAGGGACTTGGGTCTGTTTAGTCTGCAGAAGCCAAGAGTGAGGGGGGATTTGATAGCAGCCTTCAACTTCCTAGAGGGAGGTTCCAAAGAGGCTGGAGAGAGGCTGTTCTCAGTAGTGACAGATGGCAGAACAAGGAGCAATGGTCTCAAGTTGTGGTGGGAGAGGTCCAGGTTGGATATTAGGAAAAACTATTTCACTAGGAGGGTGGTGAAGCACCGGAATGGGTGACCTAGGGAAGTAGTGGAGTCTCCATCCCTAGAGGTGTTTAAGTCTCGGCTTCACAAAGCCCTGGCTGGGTTGATTTAGTTGGAATTGGTCCTAGAGCAGGGGGCTGGACTTGATGACCTTCTGAGGTCTCTTCCAGTTCTATGATTCTATGATTCTAAGCAAGGAAGAAACCCCTCTCGATTAGCTGTCCATGGACCAGTGTTTGATTACTGGTGAAATTCAAATGAAAAGGCAGTACTAAGTCTTTATGAAAATACATAGTCTTTGTTTTTCTCTTCTAGAATTTGGTCTTAAGTAATGTTAGTAATTTAGTAGATGGCACACGTCCTTCTGACTCAGTATGAAATCAATACCCCAAGTTGGGTGAGCAGTATTATGCAGTTGAAGGCATGCTGTCCTTTATGTGAAACAGAATACTAATCCCTGAACACCTGTACTCTTTGAAGAGCCCATGGCATCTTTTATAAGACTTGGAGTGTTAGGCTTGGTGTTCTGGACAAATTTCAGCAGAGATGATTATATTTTGCTCCAAGTAGTGTTAATTTACTCTCAATTATTGTACCATATACCGTAGGTTATTACATTTTAGCATGTCTTCAAACTTTTGTAGTTGACAGATTTCAGGGAGCAAATGCTGTGCACTGTGCTCTTATGAGGAATAAATAGAAATCAGACCCTTGAATTACCAATTCCCAAGTGTTTTATTTTATTCATTTTTATTTTAATATTCTAAGTTACACAAAGATCATGACCATCATCTGAAATTACTAATTCTTGGCTCAGCACCTTCTTGTCTCCTCAAAAGTAATCTAATTTTGCAAGTAAATCATTGTCTGATCCATCTACTATTTCTGGGCAATATCGGCATAGATAGATAGATAGATAGATAGATAGATAGATAGATAGATAGATAGATAGATATGCTAAATATATAAATACATAACAAGTGAGTGAATTTATGAAAAGACTGGCCCAGGTGGAGGCAGGCATCTGGGACTTCACAGGCTCAGACTTCTTGGATGGCTTTCATTTGTAGCCACCTGCGGATTTGCAAAGACATAGAGAAAAAAGAGGATTAAAAAGGCTGAAAGTTATAATGGCAGGATACTGCTTCACTGTAGCTGCTATTCTTTGATATTAGGTATAAATGCAACCCAGCATCCACAAGCTATCTGAAATGTTGTCATGTTTTCTATGATTTTTCCCATTGCATTTGTTTTAAATTTCTTCCTAGTTAATGAAAAATAGAGCTGATTTTTTTCTTTTGTCAAAAATAAGAGCTAACATTTCACTTAGAAAGTGAGATGTGTGGTTCAACCTCTGCTCTTGATATTTTCAAGAGGCCAGCATTAAAAAAAACCTATGTAGAATATGCTGTATTATTGCCCTCTCTAGGCATTGTCACATAAAACCTTAAAGGTTTTGGTACTAAGCCCCCAAGGCAGCATTCTGATACATGCCAGATGTTCACTCAGGGGAGAGATAAATGTTTAATAATTTTTGCTATTGGTACTCTTTTTACAATGTGTTACACTACCATGGCTTATTAAGGCGAAAGCTCTGTTTTACTGAAGGAACAGACTTGTAATGAATCTATACCATCTTTGCTTTTGTTGACAGTACAGGAGACTGACTCCTCTTTGAAGCACAGCATCCTAGGTGAGACTTTCAAAGACACTAAAAGATTTGATTTACTCACAAAGCTCACATTGCAATTAAGCAGGGGATGAAGGAGGCCTCCAGTTCAGGGGTGGGGAACCTTTTTGGGTGAGAGCCACAGTTGGGAGGCCACACACAAGTGAGGGGCAAAAAACAAACAAAAAAGCAGTCCTCACTGACTTGGCCCCCAAGTGAAAAGGAGAAAAATAACACTCTCACAGAAGTTCCCCAACTGAGAAGCAGGAAAAAAAAGACACTCCTCTCACTCCCCTCAAGTTCCAGCCCCATGGTGGGGGGAGAAGGAGGGGTTGAAGGCACGAAGTCTCAAGCCCTCCAGGGCCAGATTAACTCTTCTAGCTCCCAGGGCGCTGGAGTGTGACCAAGGGTTTCAGTCTGCAGAAGGGTGCTGCCAGGGAGTGGGCAGTGGGTGGAGTCTAGGCAGGAGGGGCAAGGGATTGGTGTGTCTACCTTGTGCAGTTTCCTGGGAAGGGCATGGGTGCCTTTGCATGGCTCTGGATCTGCAGGAGGCACTTACTTGCCTCACACAGCCACTTCCTCCCCCATGCTGGGCAGAGCCTGGGGGCCCATGAGGCTTGGAACTCCCTCCACCTCAGCAGGGAGCCAGCGCTGGCACACCAGCCACGGCACCACTCTCCTCTCTCCCCCCACATCCCCTGATCATGGACCTGATCAAGGCAAGCCATGGGCCATAGTTTCATCACCTTTGCTCTAGTTGGTCAGGGCAACTGCTGTGAATTGGTGTACACAGATGTCCAAATTAAGCATCAGTAAAATTCAATTTAGAAAACTATACATTTTTATCTGGGAGCAGCTAACACTCACCTGGTCATATTGTTTGCATGTGGTATCTCTAAACAACTATGTAATTAAATCAATTGCGTATCTTTTAAAACTAGCACTGTTCCAAAATGCAGAAAGTTACCATATAACATAGAGGAACCTGATCACAAGTTGGCCTACTGGACTAAATTCATCCCTATTGCAACTCTGATAATGTCAATGGAATTACTTTAGGGATGAATTGGAATTAGTGTGTGTTCATTGAGCCAGAGAGATATGACAGAGGTGATGTATGTTTTCCCATCATTGTAATCTCATAATGCTAAGTGAGTGGTTTAAGTTCCTAGATACAAAGCACAAGACATCAGCAAAGAAACTTGAAAAAAGTTCTTTCTGTTCCTTTGATCTGTCTTTCTGGACTAATGACTTATTGCCTTTCTACTCCTCATAGATAGCAAAACATAGCTCTCTTCTACAATCTCTCTTTTCTTTCCAAAGCTTGGAAAGGAGGCATCTCAGTTGGCATATGAGAGAAGCCTATGAAATCACAAATGATGTGAAGGAAGTGTATAAGGAAGAGTTTTGCAAGCGACACAAACAAGGGGCTACCTAGTAAAATTACTAGGCAGCAGGTTTTAAACAAACATAAGGAAGTACTTTATACAGTGCAAAGTCAAACTCCATTGCCAGAAAATGTTGGGAAGGACAAAAGTAAAACTTGGTCCAAAAAAGAATTAGATAAGTCCACCAGTGGCTATTAGCAAAAGGGATTGGGGATGCAACTCTATGCCCTAGGTATCTTAAACCTCTGACAGCTAGAATCTGGTATTGGATGACAGGAAATGGATCATTCAAATTACCCTGTTAATTTACTCCGTCTGAAGCATCTGGCACTGACTGCTGTCAGAAGACAGATTACTGGGCTAGATGGACCATTGGTTTGACCTAGTGTGGCAATTCTTATATTCTCTTTCCTTGGTCTCTTTTCAGTTGTTTATTAGTAAAAAGAACTGGGTAAAAAGAGATCGTAAATAGAAAACAATCTTCATAAAGCACCTGCAGTGATAAAAGCATTGGTGAAAAGGATGTAAATAACCAGAATATGTAACCATGTTGTAACCCATCTCAGTAATTCATGGCTCTGAGCATTTCATAGAGAACAACTTACTAGAACAAGGATAGTTTACCTCCATTGTCTCTGCTTGTCCTGAAGGGCAAGCAAGATAGCACAGAACTAAGGATCTACCTAATTTTAGAAGCATATTTGCTGAGCTGTTTCTCTTATGCATGCACACTTTTATTCACTCTGCACCTCTCACCCTCACTCCCATTTTCTTAATGAAGTGAAATAGGGCATAGTCTTGTCAGTGTACCCTTGTCTAGATCTAGCAACAGTTTCTACCTATTGTAGACTTTTCCAGGGCTCAACTTCTTCATTATTTTTAGCAACTTATAGCCAGATTCTGCGAACCTGAGAGTAAGTGGACGAATTGGATCCATATTGAAATTGAATAGGGATAAATTTTACTATTGCAATAACTGATGGTAGCACCATACAACCATGCTGTTTATAGACAACCTTGTATTCGCTACAACAAAGCATTACCTTGAAATGGCAGGAAAATACCTTTTAAAGGTATGCAGAGTGCTCAATGGCATTTTTTACATTGCAGTTCAAACATCTAAAAAGTCAGAGATGAAAACCAATTCTTACAGATTTTAAAAGAATTTAGCAACCTGTGAGTTTTAAAGACTAATATTTGGAGTGCACAAAATATCTCAGCAACTACTGGGAACTATGTAATTTTGAAGTTTGCATTAAGTAACAGGAAAGTTATAAGCATGGACAACAGTAGCTAATTATTATGTGCCCTTAGGAGTAGGGTATTGTGTCTGTTCTCCCCACCAATGCTTCATGAAAATTGGCTTATGAATATACATATTCATAACTCAAAGATGCTTTGGACAAAATACCTCATGTAACCTATCAATTTTAATGTTACAAGCTGCTGGATATGTATATCCTTTTTGATAACATGAATAATTCTTGTATGTGAAGTTAGAAATATGAAGTATGAGACTGTTTATAGTTTTTAATGTGCTAATGAGAATCATTATCGGTGCACCTACCTCACCGAAGCCATAACAACTTGGTGATCAACTTAACTTGTAAATAGCCTTGTTTGCCTTTTAAATCCAGAAGGTGGTTGGTCCTAGGAAAATGTGACCACCATGCTACCTGCTATTGGGGTCCATTTTTGAACCTGGTAATTTTCCACAGAAAATGGAGGATGTAAAACAAAAGATTCCCCCCCACAGTGGAGAATCTATCATCCCTTTGGCTGGCCTGGGAAATTCTGAAATGATACAAAGAGAGTTGGTGACCGAACTCAGGTTAAAAGAGTTTGAAGATTATGCCTCAAATAGGAATCTGCTTGCAATAAATTTTAGTGGATTAGAACCAGCTCTGCATTTTCTATTCATTTTAACTTACTTTGATCTGTCTGTTTTCACTTGCAATCACATAACTCCTACTGTTTGTACAGGTTGTACCTCTAAAATCCGGGATTCTCTGTTCCGGCAACATCCATGGTCCAGCATGACCACGGATGTGCCAGGATCAAAAAGTCCAAGCCTGCTGCATGTGGGTGAGGGCTGGGGAGCTGGCATGAGGCTCAGCTGGACTGCGAGGGCGGGCAGGGAGCCAGTGTGTGGCTTAGCTGGGCTGTGGGGTATGCGGGGAGTCAGGGAGCTTGTGCGCAGCACAGCTGACTGGGGGAGCTGGCACATGGCTCAGATAGGCTGCAGGGGGAGCCAGGAAGCATGGGTGAGAAGGGTGTCAGCAGGAGGACCTGAAATAACCTACCCTGGTCTGGATAAATCTCTCGTCCGGGACCAGTCAGTTTCCGAGAGTGCTGAACCAGGAAGGTCCAACCTGTACTTTATAAAAAAACACTTTTGTTTACTATCAGGCCCAGTGTAAATAATTGGTGCCTGGGGTAGGGGGGAATAGTCATTGTGCATATCTCCCTTTCGTTGATAAAGGAGACTTTTTTATGAGATTTCACTGTGTAAAACTTTTACACAGAGAAAGACAGATTTATTTGGGGGGTTTTGGTCTACATTTGGGGGTTGATTTCCTGTGCTGTGCCCCAGAACTGAATCATCACTGAACTGAAATGGTTCAGTGCCTGCATTGCTTTGTGTGGATAGAGCAGTTACCCCAAATCTGTGCCTTGTCTGAGGGAGGACTGAGAATCTGGCCTAGCAGGACGGGGTGGTGGGGAGCCTCAGAGAGCAAGCAGGTGTGTGTGTCAATGGTATGATCAGCACACCGGAGACTTCTGTGACTGCACCCTACCACAGATATATCATAGTTCACAATCTGAGCTAAGCAAATAAATACTTTAGTGCATATTTGATCAATGACTGTATCATACATAACAAACTAATCTTGCCACCAAGTGCAAAGTGGTGAAATACTGATGAAGTATTCCATGAAGTCGTTGATGAGCATTTGTTTAGCTTCAGAAAATAAAATATGTAAGCTCCATTTGAATGGCATAATACATCTATTGGA